ACAGATCAAATCTAGTGTGTGTGCCCAAGTGAGACATACAGATACACAAGAACTTCTGCTTCTGGGGAATTTATACGTCTCTGAATATGAGCTGTAGGACTATTTTATTTGGGAATCATCAGTCTTGCTGCACATGCAGAGAGACCTCTGGGCAGAGTGGACCTGACAGTCTTCGTATCTCTAACATAGACCAGGGTCCAGACTCACAGTTGTAGTTGTGTGTATCACTGTGCAAAAATGCTAAGATTTTATGAAAACATTATTTTCCTGACTGAATTCCATCATATCTGCTTACTCTAATGGCTCATTTTGGGTATGGCTGACAGCAAATGTATCTACAAGCACATTGATTAACATTAGCTGAAATTAATTAGCTTTCTGAGATATTGCTAACTAGGTAGCTTTCACTGTGTGAGGTATAACAGAAGCTGAAAACATAACTAGTATCCTCAGCTGTATATTATCACATTATTAAATACAAATGCAAAGCACCTGAAGTCTTGCTGTGAAGCCACAGAATGTCTAATCCAGTGGCAAAGGGGAATACCAAGATCTAGTTGGCAGCCTAACTTATAGTGGAAATTTCTATTGATGGTAACGTGCAACGGAAAAAGCCCGTCTTACTCACAGAGGTCAAGATTAAAAAAAAAACAAACAGTTAGAAACTAGATAAAATTGCTGAATACACTTAATTCGAAATCACTTAGGGATGCAAACATGAAAGTGTACTGGGCCAATTTACTAGCATTTTTCAAAGAACTCCAGCTTACTGATGATGGGAATTCTTGGAAGGTGAAGGAGCTGCTTTTTTTGCTATTGGTTCTCTGTTTAGCCTTGATGTTTCCAAGTGCAATCCCTCCTGGATCAACAAATTAGAGAGAGGACTTCCTCTTCAAAGTTCATGCCCAGCATGCTTTAGTATCCTCTTTTGATCAGGAACTAATTATTGAAAGCTTGAGTCTTTTTTCCCCTTGGAACCAAAGCTACAGGTCTGGGAGACTGTAGTCCTGTCTCTCCCCATTGAAGTTCCTCAAATGTTAAACTGAGATTATATAAAATGTGAGCTTTGTTTTTTTCTTGTTAGACAATAGACAAGATATGCATATGAGTGGCAGTCCTCACAAATACACAACAGACACTTTAGCTAACTCGTTGACTCCTATGTCTGTTTCAAGAGGAATTCAGCAAATTAACTCTGTATCTCCTTCCAGATTTATTCCTAATTTCACCAATATAACAATCCTTGAAACCTGATTATTGTCCTACTTTTAGGATAATGAATTTTGTGCCCATGAGTAAATTTTTTGCTGATCAAAAAAAAAATAATAATTAAAAAAACCAGCTCAGTGTACTTTTTTCTATATCTCTTGGGGCAGCATTTGGGAAAATAGCTAATGCTTGGTTGGAAGATGGTTTTAAATACATATTTGTTTTTATCCAAGTGTTCATTTCAATAGTATGAGATTATTTGTATTTGTTTCCTTAATAGAATTCCACCCTTCTTCCTGTTGTCTGGAGAGAATGAATTATGTTCCAGGTGGTAAACCCAGAATCTGTGGATTATTACTAATCATGCATAATTAATTAATTTCCATTGCAGCATTCTAATTTGTAGGGTTCCATATAAAAGTAGAGGCAGTTCCCAGCCCCAGAGAACTTTAAACTTAAGTATAAATTAAGAGATAAATACTACGGAGAGACAGGATGACATGATGAGAGTAGCTGCAGTTGGTCACAAGGAGCAATTACAATGCAGCATGTATCCAAACATTATAAATGTTTTGTTAGACATCAGGGTGATGGTGAGTTTGCAGGCTTTTATCGAGTGATACATCTCAAGACAGGATTAAAATGGAATGTGACTGTTGAAAAATTGGACAAATAGACAGTTGAGACCTGTGTTATTGCTTGAAAAGAGGCAGGAGCCATTATTGTTATTTGTATTATTAAAGTTGATGGATAAGAAGGCAAGTGGAAGGACTTTAAAAGTGGAGATAAGTAGCTGTGCTCTTATTCCTGCCTCCTGTTTACTATGCTGGGAGAAAATGCTGAAAGTTATCATTGTGGCAACTCCACTATTATTAGTTCATTCCATTTTTTCCACAATATTCAGGAAGCAGTACTGAATCAGCGCATTTTATGCTTGTAAGGAATTCAGAAGCGAGCTACTTATTTTATAATAGCTATAAAAAGAGGTAGGATATACAGGTCCCCAAACTGTTTTCTGGTCTAAAAGGAGAAGGGAAGAAGAAAAACAACATAAAAATGTAAGCAGCTGAACAAAGATACAATGTGAAAAAGGTGTAGTAGCCTCTGACAATCATTAAATCTGCAAAAGAAACCTGGTACACTGGGTGTTAATTACAGTAATTCAAGAGGTTTCTGGGAATACAGTGGCTTCTTTTTCATCTGGCCTGTACAATTAATGACTCAAGTTTTCTGCTAAGAATCCTTAAATTGTTCTGCTGTCTTGTGAACAAAAAGAAATGCCTAGGAGACCGTAGCACAGTCGACTTTTCCAAACTTCTTCAAATGCCTTCTGTGTCCTAAAGAAGCCGCCTTTTCTGTGAGCTGTCTAAGGAGCCATGGTAGCGATTTCCTAGACATCCTGTATTTACAAATTTATAGAATGGTTAGTTTTGAATAAGGGTTTGAATTAACAGATGAGTCACAAGTCTAATTTATTTCATACTAGTTGAAATGGGGAGCCTTACCATTTAGTGACTTGGTCAACAAATATTTACCATTAATGTAGTGCTTAAAATTGCAAGTCATGCATGGAATTATTGATCACTCACAGTAATGAGTACTGTGCTAAATACGACTGTCAGAGGATCAATTCTTCTGTCTCTGTTCTTATCGCAGATACAAACTGTATATGTATCTCACATTTAAGGTGCCTTCATATTGTTTTGGGGTTTTTTTTCTTACTTTATCTTGTCTTTTCCTGGAGATATCCTCATATTCTCACTGCAGTTCTTGCCTCTGACATTGACGTACATCTTTGAGGCTTGTCAATATAAAGCAGCATTTGATCCCAGAGCTGAACCTGGCTCCTTCTGCATGACTCTCAAGCAGAGATCTGTGACCAATTACTCAAACTGGCCTCTCAAACAGCACTACCTGGAGGTGCATGTTTAAATGTTTTAATTATCTCAGTGGGGATAAGGCATAGGAATTTTTGAGCAGGATCAACCTGGCAAAATTGCCACGGAACTGCAGATGCTTTACTGTAAGGAGTTGCCTTCTTTTTTTATACTTCTATCATGCCAGGATGGCTATTAGTTTCTTGACAGCATATTAGTTTCTTAAGAATGGAAAGAGACTACCACCACCTAGTTCATGAAAACAAAACGGGATACGGAAGCTAACCTCAGAATTCTAGATGACAGGAGTTTTTATTTCTAGATATGACCTTTCTTAAGAACAAAGGCAGGCAAGATTTTGGTTCCGGTTTGTCTCCATCCCAAATATATTAACAACAAATTGCTAATTCCTACAATAAAATTAAATCTATTCTTCCTGGATTAGGAGCAGTTTTAAAACTGGTTTGCTTGCCTAAACTTTGCCTAAAAATGTGCTTGATCAGAAAAGAGCATCTCACGAAGCTGAGCTCACAGTGGGGAACTAAAGTGTCTTTAGCCATCCATAGACATCTCTCTTCCCTGGTTCTGTTGGATGTCCCAAGAGAAGTTACTTGACTTCCCAGAGAGGAGGGCCTGCTGGCATTCACCTTGTGGAGTTTACCTTGGTAAGCCTCCACCCTAAATAGGGGGCTAGGGAAGTTGGGGTTACAAATGCACCTTTCTAAGGGAAGTGTGGGGGCTCTGCTGGACACAGTTCTGAGTTTTGGTTGTCTAACCACATGGTGGTAGGAGGGTAACTCTTAGGAAACTCTTGGCTTCTACTAAGAGTGAGAAAAGATAACCATAGGCAGAATCGCGGCAAAAATCTATATTTTATCATTACATTTTCTCAGCATCCACTGTACAGCTGTGCTTAGTGCTTAGGTTACAGTGTGCAATCATTTTTAAAAGTATGTTTTTTTCCAGCATTTATAACTTTTTCCACTGCCCATAGGTTTGAAATGAGATGCTCTTTTTAGGATGAGCATCTGGATAGTAATCTTTTTTTCCCTGTCTCCAATCCATTTTGGAGTCCAATGCATCCAGTTAAAGTACTAACGGTTAGCAATCCTTATGCTAAGGTTAGCCATACTACACAAGCCCTGAGTTTTGCTACCCAAGGATTTGATGAGTGACATGTTTCAGAGACGTGTTGTTTCCCTGGGCATGGAGGAAAGACATCTACCAGAAGTACTGATCCGAGCCAAGTAAGATGCTGCTTCCAAGTGACAGGAGAATTGCAGGGAATATGCATCCCACATAGGAAATCAAATGAAAGGGAAAGAAAATAGGCTTTCCATTTCTTCTCAACACATCTGACTAGAATAAAGGCACAATCCTTCCCTACATTTCAGATTATTCACTCTTACATCATCAAAGGGAACACACACACAAGATTCAAAGCAGTTGAGGAAAGTAAATAGCTACGTTAGCAAAAAAAAATGGAAAATAGTCATTTTTTTTACCTTTTCTGAATTAAGTGTTCATTATGTTTATTAAAGGATCTGAAGCATATCCACATTAAAAAAAATTCAGCTAGTAGCTGCCTCTCCCAGCACACAGGCACTGGCTACTTAAACTCTGTCTGTGGGCCTTGACTGCCCGTGAGCTGAAGCTGAAACAAATAATTTGAAGAGAAGGAGAGGTTTAGCAATCATTTGTAAGCCAATCTCTGCCAGTGAGGTAGTATCTGTGTCTCTTGAAACCATAATCTGAAGGATGTGAAATCATCATCCTCTACTGCTTTGAAAAATGTGTCACAATATACCATGTAATTCTACCTCAGCAAAATGAAAAGCAGTGAATGTTTGAAATCTGAAAGCAAGAACAATCTTGATAATTTTTTAGGACCCCTAATGGCTGTCATTAGGAATAATGATGATGAAGTTAACAAGTAAAAATGAAAAAGGAGAATATGAGGAAAAACTTGCTAATCGTGAGATATCTTAAATTGTTGAAGAGTTTTGTGGAGTATGATAGAAACTACATAATGTGAAGCAATTAAGATTTTCCAAATCCAAGCACTCAGAAACACACAGTAGAATATAAAACAGTTTTATATTGTCAGGGGGTGAACAGGTTATCTGCTGTCTAGCTCTAATTTTTAAGATCTTCATTTTAAAAAGAAAGAAATGAAATATAATTGTGTACTCAAATTATTTTTCTTGTTTTCTTTTTCAGCGCAAATTGAAGTGATACCATGCAAAATCTGTGGTGATAAGTCCTCCGGAATACACTATGGAGTCATCACATGTGAGGGCTGCAAGGTATGAGATTTTAATACAGCAGAGTCATCAGCATCTGCATTAGCCTCAGGCATCTGTGTACAATAATACGCTCTTACATGCTTTTAAGCAAGTGGTGCCAAAGGCTGTAAAGCCTGCTGCTGATATAGATGCTTTTCATGCCTAATTTTACTCGTTGCTTTCCTTTTCATCAAATAGTCTTTAGAGTTACTTCCTCGTTTGAAACATGAATTAATTGCATCTGATGCAGTATAAGTGCTAATACAGAGGCTGGCAACTGTAAGTCAAACCTGTTCTACCTTAAATCAGCTTGAGAGATGGATTTCTTATCTTGTTTCCTGTACAATCCATGTAGCATTAAAAGTTGGTGCAACATCTCAGTTCAACATCTTAAAAGCTCACAAGTGTCAGTTTGGTCCCATTTTATCCTCTTTGTATTCTCTGCAGGCCAAATTGTAATCTCCAAAAGAAAAAATGCCTTATATTATGAGTAGTGTAAAAGGATCCTTTGTCTTCTTCCTTATAGGCTCCAGCACAGGAAAATTGCTGAGAAATGGAGGTTTAAAAAAAAAACAAAAATCAAAACAAAACAAAAATCCCTAAACAAACACACAAACAAAAACCACAACAAAACCAACCAAACAACAACAGCAACAAAACAAACCACAAGCAAAAAAAAATCGAACCAACAAGGGAAAAAGCACCCCTTCCGTGCTGCTTAGTTATGTTAACCTATTATCCCAGGCATTAGTTCGAACACCACAGATCAGACCGCAAGCCAAGAGAGGAAAGGCTTCAGTTTTCAACTTTAAAACTACTCTGTGATTTTACTATCTAAGGAATTATATCATTATTCATGCGAAACCAGAGTTTCGTACTACATATTGACATTTCAGCTTTGACTGTAAATGTGAAACTGCAAAGATGGAGAGGGAGCATCTCTGATTTATTCTATGTGCAAACACACAAACTGGTACATTTGAAAGTGGGTGCATATTTGTCAAGTGAAATGGCAAGTCTGTATTTACTTAATGCTTTAAAAAAATTAGAACGATCTGAAAAATCTGAAGATTTCAGTGCACCCATTCTTAAAAGTAAGTTTTTTATGCCAATGCAGTGAGAACCAATATATTGTCAAAGATCAGATTTCTTTCAGAAACATTAACAATTGTAAATGGAACAACCTGCAGCATCTCACTGTCTTATTGTCACACTGGACTAGAAATAAGCATGTTCTTATGATGATCACATGAAACAGGATTAGACTAATTGAACTGATACTTCAAAATCGGCACAAAAGCTTCAGGAGAAAAATGCTTTAAGCAGAAAAACAGCATCTTGTCTTGGTATGCAGCACACACAGAGCCATTAGGGATAAAGCCTCCTGTAGGTGTGATTAGGGTTAATGCTGGCCCTTGTGTATGCCTCAAGAGGAGATGATACCCCTCAGCTCTGTGTGTAGACTGGTGATTGAGATAAAGAGCTTGTCTTCCACTTACAGCAGTTTTAACCGTATTGTTTTTCTGCCAGTTTTGCAGTATCAGATCAATTAGTCTAATCTTGTTTTGTGAGCCTGTTGTGAAAAAAGATTTCAGTTTTCACATCAAGTCCGATGGGAAGCATCTCAGTCTGTCAGAGCTCTCTTTTAAGGTAAGCACTGTCTCAGGCAGTGTAACTCTTCTCTTCATTGCCTAGCAAATAAATAACTATTTGATTATCCCGCATACTCGTAACTGGTCACTTCTGGCTCTTTTTGTCTGAAAGCAATAGAAATCTGAATTAATTAAGAGGGAGACCATGTGTGGAATTTTTACCCGCTCTGCAAGCATGCATATGAGGATTGTCCTGCCAGTGGCAGTGCTACAGACATCAAGGGAAAGGAAATCCTTTAACTCTGTGTCTGACATTAGCTATGCCACTGCAAATCCATATGATAAGTGCTTAAGGGGCATCATAGACATATTGCTGTTTCATGTCCATGCCTGCATATGCTGAACCCATGGAAGAAAATGATGGCTCTGCCGCTATCATCACTGAAAGGTTGAAACCTGAAGATGGTTTTCCATCCCATCTGTCTCTGTGGCTCCTTCTTTTGCTGAAAAGCCTTTTACCATTTCTCCTGCCTACCCCCAGAGCAACATATTTGCTACCACTCTTTTGTCATTATTTAGACAGTAGTTTACATGACCATTTCTCTTCTCAGATTGACTGTCGGTGATGGATAAAGTTACTTGTTTAAGATGCAGAAAGATGACTTGTCAGTGTTGGGAATATTGGGAAATCTCTCTTTTAAGTTTGTAACTCCTCAGTAATGACTGCATCCTCCTTCCCCTAAATGGAATTATTCTCAGTAAATAAAGCAAATATATAAAGATACCCTAAAAATGAAATTAAAGGATTTTCTGTACTTTGTAAGACAACATTTAGATCTTATGCAGGAGATAGAGAGTACTAAAGTCTCCTTGGAAAAATAAATTGCCTGCTGTAGATTAATTTTATTATGGAACTCCTGATTTTTTGCTAAGAGGGGCAAAGAAGGAACAAACAAATTATTCTGAGATGAGATCAACCTTAATGGGAAAAAACAGCACTACAGGATAAGGCACACGCAATGCTAGATGATTGTGAGGAGATTTTTTTAACATTATTTAATTCATTTGTTCTCTCAAATCCATATCCACAGAGGACTACAATCACTGACACACTATAATCACTGCTAAAACCACCATAGGCCAGATGAAATGAGACTCTTTAGGCTTAATCTCAGGAACTAGTGTTGCTGTTGTCCTTGGTGACATGACACCCCACATTGTCCTCATTGGGTTCACCACAACTTGAGTGAGAATTCAGGCACTACCTATAGCAAGCGAATTGAGCCCTGTGACACTGTCATCCTGTTCCTTTTTCACTCTCATTCCTCCAAAACACAAGGCTGCCACAATTTTCATTGCTTGGTATTGCTGTTGGCCTGTACAGAGATAACACTGGTTTTGCCTGATAAATGAAGTCAGCTCTTGCCTACTGGCTCCATTCAGAGCTGTTTGCAAATGAGCCTAGAAGGACTCAATCACTTTAGCATCACTCCTGGTGATTCCTGTAACTGCAGTAGTGATGCTTTCTACCCTTTTTCTCCTCATGGCTTCCAGCAGTGGCTAGGCTGCCCTTCAGCTCTCCTATCACACAGCCCTCAGCTGCCAGCATCTGAAGATGCCAAAGTCGCCAAAGAACTCTCTTTTTCTCTGGCCTTGCTGTTCGTCTTGTCCTTTATTTTACAGGAAAGAAAAGAATATCATAAAATGCCTTCTCCCTCTCTCTTTCTTTCACTAATCCTTACCCCCTGGTTTGATTCTTCTTATCGCCTCTGCCATTTCATGTCACTTCTACCATACGGGTACCTCTCTGTGTCACTTGTAGCAGCTGGGAGCTCGTAAGGCCTTCAGTATAAGTTAATACTCTCCTTCTAACCCTCTGATCTTTAGCCAAATGGCCCACAGCTGGCCAGAAAAACCTTCTAGGAGATAGAATCACTACAAAATTTTACATAGATAAAATGGATAATGTTATGTTCCATTGAAATGGAAAATGTCATTACTTTCTCATGGTAGTGTCCAAAGGTGTTGCTTTCTCCTTTGTGTGTTGGCTTTACTTGATACAGTCATCAAATCCTGGTGCTTTTGTGATGCTTGAATTTTAATTACTTTTCACTCCTGAAGTGTGTGGTCCCTCCAGATCAGATCAACATTTGCCAGGTTAAATTGAACAGCAGACTTCAGCTTCTAATGCTATGCATAGCTAGCACCGGTTATTACCATTCTCTTTCATTAAAGGAAGAAAATAGCCAGAAAAAGTATTTTGAAGTCATCTGTTTACAAATGCTGACAAGATTTTTCTCTATTACAAGCAAAAGTTAGATGATACATGGTCATTATTGCACAATAAGAATGCATTCTGTAACATTATTATTTGCATTTTAACAAAGTAGAATTACATTATTTACAGAATAACACGATTCTCCTTATTATAAGTAGATGTTCTTTAATTTCACTGTACAGGGCCAACACATTTGCAAAGCCACAGCATTAGTAGCATTGCACTAAATAAGAGTTTATTGTAGTCATCTACATGGTTGTGTGTGTGTGTGTGTGCACATGCGCACATATATGCACATGATAATGCTCTGTGTCATGGTGATACTCGTGCTCTCTTGCCCTTAGGGATTCTTTCGGAGGAGTCAGCAGAACAATGCCTCCTACTCCTGCCCAAGGCAGAGAAACTGTTTAATTGACAGAACCAACAGAAATCGTTGCCAACACTGCCGACTGCAGAAATGTCTTGCCCTGGGAATGTCTCGAGATGGTAAGAAGTCATATTCCTGCTTCACGCCTAAACCCTTTGAAACTCTTCTTCACTGCACTTACTTAAACTCCCTGTAGATTTCTGGGAATAGAGAGGAGAAGCTCCTTGTTTTGTAATGCATGCACTGTGAGACATGAATATTTGCCATTCAGTTAACAAAGAAGGCTATTTTCATGGGGAGGGTGTGAAAATCACAAAATGGAGAGCAACATTAGCTTGGAACAGCAAGAGTTAGAGGTAAAACGTGGTCTTTTGATCAAAAGCACAAAAAGATCATCTCTGGAGAGGTGGATTTATATTCTAGTTTAGATAACCTCTTCTATTAAACATTAACATTTACCTTAACATTAAATATTCACCTGTGAAAGCATCCCTTTCATTGAGATCTCAAAAAATCTGTGACAGTAGATAGGCAGCTAAGAAGAAATTTACACCTTGATAGCATTAGGGGTTTCTGTTTGTTTTATTCAGAGCACATGACCAAATATTTTGCTCTGCTATGAAAACTTTTTTTTTGCCTGTACATTTCCCCCTGTCTCTGTTTGGATCTGTAGAAGAAACATTTCATAGTTTAGCACTGAAAATGGACATTCCACCAGGGGAAAGCTCCACGGTGTATCCAGTTGCAGGATTCTTTGACCCTTGCAGAGCTCTGGCCCACCTTCTAAGCTGTGGTGTGACAAGCTGTGTTCGGGAGGCTAAGGACATGCACCACACCAGAGCTGCAGACAGTGGGAGGCTTGGGCAAGGCTGCTCAAATCTGACCTGCCCCAGCCACCACTGCTCATGCAGGCACTTCCCAGATCACAGATGTGTTTCAAATGGTCAGGAAGTATGAGAAGAAAACATTCTATTTTTGAAAGCAGGTTATATTCATTTCAATTGCCTGTCAGCAGCTTTCTGTCTTAGAAAGTTTACTCAAAATGTGTATTTTGAAATTAACAGTCACTTGTAGAGAAGTTACTTAAAGAACTATTTCTTTAGATCGTCCACAGATCATAAACTTGTTTTAAATTTAGACAGTAATAGGTCTTTTCCTACCTCAGTGTGTCTCACGTGTCACTGAAACAACTTGCTCAGCAACCTCACCAGTTTGGGAGGGGCCTTGCAGTCTAACCTTTAATCCATGAACTCTTTTTTGGTCCTAGCATGCAGCTTCCTTGATGCCTTTACCCCCCAGTTCTTCCTGGAGGAGATTAAAGTAGTAACATTTCAGTAACTTAGCAGCACGTGCTTTCCTCCTAAAAGGAGGAAATTATCTTCCAATAATTTGAGGTATCATGGGGGCATTTTAATGTGATTGACAGCACTGTCTTCCCAACCTGTATTTCAGGGACCACTGCATACAGACAAAGGAGTGATTCTTCTGACAGAATCGCTTTCTTCTCTCATTGTTTATGTAAGGATGTTTATACTTAAAGATATTAAGAGCTCTTGCAAGTTTGAAATAGGCTGTATGGATTCTTTTTTAACAGAGAAATTGAATGTGATTTTTACCTCAGTCATTCATTTTGACTGCAGAGGCAGGATGCTAATTGACAGCAGCTGGAGAATCCAATTAATGAATATATAATGAGAATAAACAGTGGGTGTTTGTTTTTATTACTGAGGCCCTAAATTTGAAGAAAACACACAGTTGCATTTTTCAGAATACTGTCATTATATATTGTCCGTAAGCGCATGCCATAATTCCAGGGTCTGGCTGTGTTTGTGTGAGGTAGCTTGCAGCCTGTGTGAAGGGCTGCAAGCAGGCTGAGGTTGACAAAAAAAAACCAAACAAAAAACAAACAACCTCTAAGTGTAAAAAGGTGTAAATAAACTGAAGTGGCTGTCATCTCCTTGTTGTTCTGACACTGCCTCATCTTACTATACTCTTTCATATTCATCCGTATGTGGATAAGCTCAGACTCTTCTTGAGGTCTATAGCTGAACTATGGAGTAGCAAAAATGAGAGTCAAGCCCATCCTGTGGTAATAAATGTGATGATTCTGAGTTGATCCCAATTACATATTAAGTGGAAATACTCAGCATAGGAAAATAGACCTCATCGTATGTAGAAATCAGTATTTCCAGAGCAACATCCTCTTATCTGTGATCTGATAAATTCTGCTGAAGGTATCCCTCATTTGTTTTGGAGCACAATTAACAACTACCTCTGCTCTGAAATCCCAAGATCTAGCCCAGAAGAAACCCAGAATTTATAGAGATCTGGAGGGTGGGGGAGGGGAAGAGATAATCAGCTATGGCCCACTCAGTATATGCAAGCTGTGCATTTACTCCTCCTATTTCCACAGCAATCACCCTGTCATTTTTGAAAATTTCAATCTCATTGTAATGAACCCTGTTCCTGGGGAGAGTGGTTTACACAATGATGTTTTCCTCCCTTTCTCATCAGAAGGAATGCATGGATTTGTGCATGGAGATTATGTAAATTGATTGTGTAAATCCCTTAGACTTTCCTCTGTGGAAAAGATGACATTCATTTGAGCTATTTACCTTCAAATCTGTTATTTTCCTCTAGATTCTAACTCTAACCTGTGAGATTTATTTTTTTTTAAAGTGTGAAGATAACACCCCATTGAAAGGATGCAATAATAAGGCTTTAGGGCTTATTTTCGTCCAGAGTACTAATCCTGTTAGTGCACTGTTTAAAGGTTTGTGGAAAGTTGGTAAATCACATGGGATATGAATCTACAGACAGTATATTTCATATAGCTCTGAGTTGTTGTTCAGCAAACACAGAGATACAAAAGGATGCACAGTCTTTTTAACATTCATAGTAGGAAGTGAGTTGCTTGACTGAGGCCCTCCTGTCAAATCGGAGTCATTATCGTCACCTTGTAAATCCAAGCACACAATACTTTTTCCTTTGTGAGACCCATATGGTGTAAAGCTTTGCATCCTCTCTCATTTCCACAGAAAAATAAATATCAAAAGAGTGGTGAGGTTGATGGGCATCAAGAAAAAATGAAAGACAACAATGGTTCATATTGCGCTTTGCTTTTCAGCTGTGAAGTTTGGAAGAATGTCCAAAAAGCAGAGGGATAGCTTGTATGCTGAAGTGCAGAAGCCCCAGCAGCGGCTGCAGGAACAACGGCAGCAGCAGAGCGGTGAGGCAGAAGCCCTCGCCAGGGTTTACAGCAATAGCATCAGCAACAGCTTGAGCAACCTGAATAACGAAACTGGCAGCACCTACTCTAATGGGCACGTCATCGACCTGCCAAAGTCTGAGGGTTATTATAATGTGGATTCTGCCCAGCCTTCCCCAGACCAGTCTGGGTTAGATATGACTGGAATCAAGCAGATAAAGCAGGAACCTATCTATGACCTCACCTCCGTACCAAACTTGTTTACCTATAGCTCTTTCAACAATGGGCAATTAGCTCCGGGGATATCCATGACTGAAATAGGTAAGGAAAATTCTTATTCCTCAAGTGTAATGTGTGTATATATATATCAGCTAGACCACAATATTGTTTTGATTAAAATATTTTTTTAGGCATTCCATACACAGGAACACAATAATTACATACTCATATATGTGTATATGCGCATGCACATACAGGAAATAAAAGAAAGAAAATCAGTCTGGCAGTAATTGACACAATATTGAGGCAGTTCTGTTTTTACCAAAATCTGCAAATTAAGTGGTTTCTTAAACTCAGCAGTTCATGTTCTGTTTATAAAATAGGAGCACCAAAGCAGATGATGAATCAATCAGAACCAAGTGATAATTCGTACCAGAGAGCTTGTTTCAAATGAGCTCATTACTAGCAGGGTTAAATGTTCTCTTCAGCCAGCCATCCGTATTCTTGTCAACACCCAGAATCCCCATGGTAGCTAATTCTAGGGTATTTATTGTCAAAAAGCACTGGCTTGCTACTTCTGTTGCATGGATATACATGCAGAGAGCAAGGTCACTGAATTTGTGAGTGCACAGACTCTGAATGTAGTTGCATGGATACCCCTACTCCTCTGCTTGAATGCTTTGGAGAACCTGTCCCTTGATTTCTTCTTTGAAAAGTAGCAAAGAGACCTCTCTGTGAGATGAGATGGTTTGAAAGGCAACAACTAGTGATGAGTCTTCTCTAAGGAAGATTTTTGTTCCTCTAATGCCTCTAGTCATTCCCCTCCAACACAACTGAAAGTACTACTCCTGTTATAAAGAAATGTCATAAAAGATGACTGGCATCCTAATTAGGTACTTCCCACCTAAAAAAGTGAAATATGCTGAGTCAGTTGTGGTTGAGAATATAATCAAAGTGTAACACATCGTTAATGGATTTTAATTAAAAAGAAAGAAGAAGGAGGGGAAAAAAAGCACCTGTAACTAATTAATTAATATCACATCATAAAGACCCTCTATGTTTCTGGCCTTGCTGCCTCATGTGTGTACAATGAAAAGTGTACATTTGTGTGTGTGTACTCAGACCTACTGTGGGTCCTGGAGGTGCGGCATGCATTCAATATATATTGCAGAAAGCG